AAATTCTCTGCACCTCAACCTAGCTGTGACATGACTAACATGTTCCCATGTATTGTTATCATGTTTACTTTTCAGTTTCTACATTGTTGTAGAAAACCAAAATAAAGGTTGGAATAGAATAGAAAACACCTTAAGTATAAACATTACATACCAAATCTGCACAAAACCTGTTGTTTGCCATCAGAGTGCAATAATTATTGGGTTTGAGAGAAGCTTGAGTGTTCCACATCAAACCTGCAAACACAAGGATCTGCTGGAAATGATAGGGATTTAAATGAGCTCAGTCACGGTACTTTGAGTTATTTTGGCCATTTACAAAGTTACCTTTATTGAAGGAAACCTGAAAATCATAGTTTACTTATATAGAAGAACCCCAAAGAAATAATAAACCATAACGAAACAAGGATGATTTAGGATGGTAAAGATTAACATGCATTACAAATAACAAACTTGAAAAATTTAGGCTCAAATTTTCAAACTGTAATGTAGCTCCTTTAAGATGGAACTAGAGGACCATGAGGCACCAACATGATTACAGCCTGACTATAAGGCAACATAACTAAATGCTTCTGCTAATAATTTTCAATGTAAAAGTATCACCTTTCATCACTGTGTTCTCTGTAAGTATGTCATTCTGGGAAGGAAGCAGTGTTATATTAGGGAAAATCTAGTCAAAGCATTCAGCCAATCAAATCATTGTCTACAGTAGCACCTTTGTCGCTCCACTAGGAACAAGAGACAGGTGGCTCTGGGGATGAGAATGACTTGCTTATTTTACCATGGTAACAAGCAAGGTTTTGGCCTGGGAAATAGCCAGGCAGGCAACAGGCTAAGAGAGAAGTTCATCCATCAGACAGGCTACTCCACAAAATGTTCCATTTTTATTTCACTCCCTTTAAAAAGACAGTAACAAGAGTCCAGTTTGCCTGGAAAAATCCAAATGACATGTACCAGACAAGACAGGGAAATAGAAATTAATTTTGCAAATAAGATACCCAGAATGATGGAAAAGCCGAAATCCCACATGTTCAGCTCACAGCACTTAATATACCCATTATTTTCAACATTTGCAAGAACTAGAAAACTTAATTTTAAGATTTCAAAATTCACTTATAATACCCCCCCCTCCAACAACAATTTACAGCCTGTTGTATGAAAAATATTTTATAGTGCAAAATAAAAAATTTTCATACTTCCCAACCACTTCCTTACTTCACAGCACCCAACATTACTGTTAGTAAGACCACTTGGACTGAACCAGCTTGTGGTTACCAGATCATGAGATGGCTAAGAACTTAGTTGCCTTTCAGGATAATTTATAAAGGGATTATCGAAGATCAGCATCATAAGCTAGAGGTTATGTGGTTGGAATGACTGAAATTTTCAACTGCTCACTTCATTTTCACAAAAAAATGTTATGAGCCGTAGGACTCCATTTCACAACAGTCACCTTTTATCATCTGCCAGGGTTGTATCATAGAATGTAGATGTAGAGTCCTTGTTTAGTATAACATAACATTTATCACACACTGGGTGTGGCCTGGATGATTTGCTTCCCACAACAGTCTTGGATGTACACTGTTCACAAAATACTTTGCCGCAGTGATGGCAATGGTGCTGCATGTAAAAGACATCAACAGTGTTAGAGGTAACAGTCCTGCTTCTAAAAAGGCTTTGATCATACTATTAGCTAGAGAAAGTTCTGGGATCTTCTTTTCAAATCCTGACTATTGTCAATTTTGTTATTGAAATTCAGGAGCGGGGAGGCAAATTTAAATTTAAGTTTTAAGCTTTGAATTTTAATTTAAGTTGTTAATTGTAAATAATATTAATTTTTTTCTGTTGAATTTTATTTTTAATAGTGTCCTTACTTAGTGGGAAACTGCTTTTTAAATCTGAGCAGTTTTCAGTGTTGTAAAACCAAAACAAAAGTAATCACGCCAGTCAATCACAAAATAAACTGAAAATAAAGTATGAAGTATTTAGGTCTGCATATCAACATCTTCCTGTGTAGCATTTTTTGTAACAAATAGTTAATTTTTTTTCAAATTTATCAAGATTTTACCAACCTTGTCTTTGCTTGACTTTAAGGCTTTTTGGCAATTCTGACACGCTTTAACATCCTCAGCATGCTGCCATCGAACTCCTGTTTCTGATTCATGGATCTGGGCAATCTGCATCTAGGATAAGGGCAACAAAAATAACAACTGACAGACCCACATAAAAAGTCATTGTAAAGGCTCTAGAATCACACAGTACATGTACGATAAGAACTTTAACTATGAGTTATCAAGCCAGAAGAGATTGTTTTGTGTTTGTCTTCTTCCACATTTAAATGACATTAATATTGAAGTTTAATAAATCCTGAAAACAACTTCAACTTGAAATCTTTGCAGTCCAAGTGAACATTGGCCCAGCTGTTTTGTGTTAGCATGTAGCTGCCTTCTCAGTATTTTGCCAAGTCATTTTATTTAGATGTACCTGTAAAGACTGAGATAAGCGTACAAAATCTCTCTGCACCGTTTCACTTTGGTTGAGTTGTTCTGTCATTGATTGCAACTGGTTCTTCAATTGTTTATTCTCATCTTCTATCTTGATCTGCAAAAGAAGTTTGTAGCCATTTGCCAAATAGCATTTGCCTGGACTGAAAATAATATCATGATAACTAAATAAACCTACTAACTGTCACACCTTACACATGATTCTAATGCATGTGGGTTGAAAACGCTGATCTCTGGGAGCCCTGCTAATCAGGGCTATTTGTTTTGAGTCACCTGTTGCCTTGCTCTTCACGCCCGTAGCAAACTTGTTACTTTGTGGGTGAATTCTATCAACAACTGGGAATTTCACCCATAACATCACGGGAAAATCAAGCATACTCAGCCGTAGTAGGTGTTACGGGTTACAGCCCTTAATGACAGCCCTGCAATGCCTGTCAGCAACAATGTCACATCTAGCTGAAATATATCAACCAGTGCAATAAAGCCAAGTCTAAGTAAATGATGTTGTTACACTTGATATAAGTATGGAAAATGCTCAAAATGATTTGGGAGATATTCCAAAAGTTCTTGTAACTCTCTGGACTACATTCTTCAAAAATCTCCTGCCTGTGATTTGTAAAATGTTTATAGGTATATGATAGATCAATTGTTTCTATGATAATGGTCATGATAACAATAAGCATGGAGGACAAAGAAGAAAACGATTATAATTAATGTTGATGATGATGATGAGGATGAAGAGAGTGACCATGATGACAGAGATGAAATGGAGAAGAGGTAAGACAATGATGACAGTGAAAACTGTTATATTCACACCTTTTCTTCAGTAGCCTCATCTAACTGTCCTCTGAGTGCAATGATGACTTGGTTAGATTTGTCTTCTGTGTTCTTTAGTGACTGACCGGACTTTCTAAGCTGAGACTGTGCCTATCAATAAACCAATTTAAACAGTTTAATTCAGTATTAGGAAGGTAAGTTATTCCAAATGTACCAAGCACATTAGCAGCTGCAGTACTGTCCATTGCAACTAGCTTTGTCAGAAACAGTCACCTTATAGTTGCTATATTATTAATAATACCTCCTCTTTGGCACTTTTTTCCTTATCAAGCTCTGTCCGTAACTTATCTATAAATTGAAAGAAAAATCACCACTTGAAATAACATTTTCAATATTTACCTCTGGTAATATTTGGCTCTATGAGGTTGGTTATAGAGGTTCAACCATATCACACATCAACAACAAATGGTCAGCCAATATTTATCTAGAGTCAACCAGTTCATTGTCACAATTATCTAGAATATTTAATTTAATAGTTTCTTCTTTGAGTACACAATAAATTAATTTCCATTAAATTGTAAACTGCCTTCATACCAAGTTCAACCCTGATGTTATCCACGTCTCCCTGAAGCATTGCCTCCACACTGTCCTTTGCAACTTGTTCTGCCATAACCCGATCTTTAAGGAAAGACACCTTCAAGTAACACAAGCATATCAGTTAGTACAGGAAGCCAGCACTACCCCTCCCCCACTGGTGTCTAATGTTTGATGTATTTGATTCTTGTTGTAACATTGAAAGGGTTTTAGAAGCCATAACTACATTAAGTACAGTATATTTCAGCTCGACTAATTAATGTAAATTTCTGAAGCAATAATCAGGAGAAGATTTTTCTTCTCTTACACAATTTCAACTTTGAAATAACATTCTGATTGCTTGATTGCACTCTTTGGAGAGCTATAGCTATATATCATTTCAGTTTAACTCTGTTTAGTTAATCAATTTCCTTGTTGAAAACAACCTTTGATGCTTTAAACACATGATAGTACTCTTGAAAAAGGTTGTCAGCATTAGGTGGAATGAGATGACTCATCAGAGCTAGAGCTTTTAAACTACAATGTATTGTACAAAGTGACTAGGAAAAATATTACTCCCTCTCAGGCATGAGACAAATGTGCCACTTAGTTACACAAAATGGAAAAAACTATAGATTAGATAACTAGGAAACTTGTCTTTTCTACCTTAACTTTTTCTAATACCAGTTCACATTTTATCCCGTTTCTCCTAACCTCACTTCTCAGTTTCTCTTCTGTGCTCTCAGATGCAGCTCTGATTTGCATCAGTTGTTCACGCATTTCAGCCAGCCTTGCATCAGAGTCCATTTGTGTAAGTTGCTGAATAGCATTGTCTTGAAGAGCTGCATAGTCTGTTCTCAACTGCGTAAGCTGTCAACAATAAATACCTTAAGAATAAAGCATTCTTTCTATTCCTTATACACACTCACAAGGCACCCATTACACACACATTTTCAAAATGGGTCACCGCATAAGTTTGAAAGAGGCATAGTGACGCACAGGAAGTTCACTTCACTGACATCAGCAAACCTACAGTTGAACCTCCCTGTGTGCCCCCCCCCCCGACTAGTAAGCAACCACCTCTCAAGCAAACAGCCTCCTGTATGCGACCACCTCTCTTGAATGACTACTATAACAAAATACCAAAAGTTTCCAAGTCATATCACTGTAGTTGGGACCTCTTGTAAGCAACCTCCTCTGATAAGTGACCATAACCACTTTTAGCACTGATAGATGACAATTCTCTAAAGTTTTTACTTTCCCATAGAAAACAACTTGATACAATATCCTGTATCTTGCCAAGCAGAAATTGGAAAATCTAGCTGTCAGATAATTGCTTGTCAACATTATCTGATTGACATGACAATACTTGTAGATACATGCAGTCTCAGAATTAGAGCCATGGGATGTTTTGCGACATGAATAAAGTATTCTTTATTACCAAATTTGACATATGTGGCCCTAGAGGTTTCTTGGTTGGCTTTAGAAAAGCTCTAATGCATTGCATAGTATCTACAGGTGTTTCTGTTCTATATGTTAAAAACTCCAAATTTCTACCTCCTGTGGTGTGACCTGTAGTAAGTGACCACCTAAGTCAGGCATTTTGTGCAGTTGCTCAAGGGTCAAAAGGTGTTTGCTCTGCAATATATTTCACCATTTGCAAAACTGCCCCTGAGATGGGTAGACCTGCTAAATGTTTGCATTACCAGGATGTGTTATTCTCAGGCTTTTCATGAAGTAGTGAGAGCAGTGCAAACTGAAAATAATTATAATGCAGACTAAAGAGACTACATATTTAGTGAATAAGTTAAGTGCCAAGAGAAGAATTTACCTCCTGAGTAAGTTGATCCCGGGAAGCTACGAGCTTCATCTTAACAAAACATGAAAGTTAATTAGTACAACAAAATTTTGTGTTGCTTAACCCACAGGGATATTGTTGATTAAATGATTCAAAGAATGATCATGTATATAAAGGGTTTCTCCTACATGTAAAAGAACATAAAATTCAGATTATGGTGAANTGAGGGTAAACAATCAGCACCATTATACAATAACCTAGTTATTATTGTACTTTCTCTGTTGTAGACAGTTGATGGGAATAATAGATAAAACAATTGATTACGGAATGTCTCAATCTACCACCAAATTCTAATACCAAACATCAAGAGGAAATGAAAGGCAATAAGTAATGGGTTAAAATATCTAAAATTGGGATTAAAGTTATTCAAACTGGATTGTTATGGTATGGCTGCCATAACTAAGCTCTGACCTTTTCCTGATCCAGTGCCACTTGTAAGTTGGAAGCTAAATTTTGAAATTTCTGATTTTCATCCTGCAACTTTTGAAGCTGTCGTTCATAATTACCACACATTGCACATGACCTATTCAAGCTACTTTCATGAGAAACTTTCACCTGAAAAATGCATGTGTATCAACAATATTAATGAAAATAAAAAACTTCTGCAGCGGCTTTGTAGTGTTTGGGGCTCAAAATGTCACTTTTGATGTCAACTAAAGCTGGGTACAAGTAACTTAAAGTAACTACAATTAACATGTCAATTTTAATGTATTATTTCCTAAGACCATCTAAATGTAACACAAGAGTTTACAATCACACAATTATTTGTTAGGTCCATGGATAAAACAGTTATTTCTACTCAGTGTGAGTTTGTAGCAATTAAGTCAAGAGTTTGTACATTGTTTACAGCACAGTGATTCTGCCTCAACTCCTAACCATCATCAACTTCAAAATTGCTGTTTCAGATTTCTTGTGTACCTTCACTACAGAGAGTCAGTCCTGATGTCATTTTGTTCGTGGTTTTAGGTAATCATGAAAAATTTGGAGTAAACAACTGCTGAAAAGCACTCCAACAATGAAACTGGTTTTGAAAAACAATCCAGTCCAAAAAATGACAAACACCAAAATATGAACAACATACAGCTTCCTGGAAATTCTTCCAATCAAACTTGTTCCCATGTCCTTTGCTGGGAGGCTGTGGTCTGGCAGGGGGAGAACTGGGTCCTTCTGGTGGTACAACATCTGAGGGAGCTGAAGGCTCTGGACTGGATGATAATAACTCCTCTACTGAGTGTGCTCTGGCAACTTGACTATTACTACCTGAAATCACATCCAGTGCTTAACAAGCTTATAATCCTACCTCAAATTATTTTGCTCAAAACTAACCTTAAAAAGGAATACTTTAGGGAGCTACTCCTATTGTGATATATTTTAAAAATAGTTGGTTGAGATTAATTTACTAGTGTGTAGGTTATGGTTGAATGTAACTACAGAACATTCACAAAAACAGTTACAAAAAAAATGTTGTGACACATTATTCAGTTACTGTGAAGAACAACTCCCAAAAAAAAATTGTCAGCCGACTGTTGGCCATCTGTCAGCTGTTTGTCTGCAGACAGATAACTGACTGTTGGCTGAGAGTCAGCCAACAGGTTTTGGCCAAAACACAGACCAACAGTCGGCCGACTGTCAGTGATCTGTCGGTAACGTGTCGTTAAGTTGTCGGTAGTATGCAACACTTACCTTGATGTTGTTTTTCCAAATTGCGACCGAGATATATAACAAACTGAATAGGAAGGAATGTACTTCTGAGTTTTGGTAATCACTGCTTACAACTAGCTGGGTTCACAGCTGATGTGGACCTACCTTACAAAATAAGTCTGCAATGCAAACACATGTCTAGTGCAGGGTGGATACTGGGGATTGATAGTTTACATGCAGACATTGTTGTCCTGAGAAATTTCTTGTGAGTAATGTAATTGTGGTTTCTGAACATATCTTTGTATTTTGCTATTTTGTGAATTCCTATTATTGGGTTGAAAAGCTTTAAAAGTATTGTAGTGTTGTTTCCCTCATGCAAAGTGGAGTATCAGGTGTTTCTTTCTGCCTCTTTTATACATCATTGCTTTTTCATTTCGTCGTTATTTTCTTTTTAAGTATTTCAGTACTCCACATTGACAAGTACTCCGAAAGCCATGGCATAGTAAAAAAGTATCTCTGAAGAAAAACATAACAAAGGTCAATAAAAGATGGACAGCACTGGTTCACTCACCACAATACCCTCTTCCCAACTCCTTCTGTGAAACAGTGTGAAAGCAAAATAATTGTATCTTGACCTCTCTCTTCGTGAAGACTTTGACTCAGAACCACTGTGTCTTGAAGGGATGGTAATGTACGTAATGACACTAATCTTGGATTTAGTGACACAAAAATAAACCACCTAGGGCAAAAATATTCATCCCTTTCTTCTCGAACACTTCAACTCAAAACCACACTGCTCGGAATTTCAAATGACGCTAATTTTCGTAATACAAAGATTTTGCGACACAAATATTAATTGCAAGAGGATTGGTCCAAATATTTGCCTTGACTGCTCGGGCACCCACTTGAGCAGGCTGACGAGTACTGGAGACATATCGATTTGATTACACATTTTCACTTGTGGCTTTCCTGTTCATGTAATCTGTCATGAGAGGAGAATTCCTTGAAACTATTGGAGCATGATGTCACATTTTGCAGTATATGAAGTAGTTAGCTATCTTTTTTATCGCTTTTACATTGTGTCTAGTGCTTTCACTAGAAACAAAAAGCAAAAAGTTCTAAAATCTACTATTAAACAATTCTTACAGAACATTGACAAGCAAACTTAACTGACCTGCAGAAAATGACCAGAGCATTTACGCAAATACAGCACTGTCCGGCAATGCCACCTTGGAAAGGTCAACTATGTATCATTCCCCCTCAAATTATGTCAGGATTTGAATTGCATGGCAAGATGATTTGTACAAGAAAGTGTTATGCTGTTGTTTTCGTTTTCACTTTCAGATGAAATCTGCTTTATACGGTTTAAATTTAGGACATTCTTGTCTGTTAGGTACACAGTAAAATTTGATTTAAAGAATATTTCACAATCAATATTTTCTATGCCAACCATCGAATGGTAAGTTTCTGATGAGATGTATTGCTAATAATTATTGTTTTCGGGTTTTTGAAACCATTTTGTTGATCAGGTGAGATACTCTTTTCCTGTCTATTCTACAGCAAACTTTTTGTTTTAGCAAACTGTTGGTAACTTGTTGGTAGCTTGTTGGTAGATTGTTGGTAACCTGTCAGCTGACAGCTTACCAACAGTCGCTTTTGGGACCTCTTCTTCACAATTACCCATTATTCAAACTTAACTGACCATGACCTGTAATAGACCAGTGTACAATAATGGCTAACAGTATGATTAACACTCACTCTCAAGACTCATTGTTACATCAGAGGCTGAGTGAACTCTCCTCACTCCTGATTCCTTGCCATCAGTCTCTATAGATGTCCTCTGAGCAGTCTCTGCCTCAGACACCAGTTGATTTGTGCAGGGGACCGTGGGAATACTGTCCCATATTGACAAGGAGTCTGTAGCAGTCACTTGTGCTGGCAAGGGAACTAAGCTTGGCTAGAGAAACAAAGATGAACAAGTGATCAAACCTACTGTACCACATGACCACATGAAACGTCATCAACTTTGGCAAATTCAGTTGTAAAATTAGTAGATAACTTTAATTTATTATTTCACGAGAGGGGCTCTGCATCAAACCTATACATTACAAGCCAAAAAGGATTAGAAATACTCATTAAATACTAATTAAGAAGAAGAAAATATTTCTTCAGAGATAAAGAGACTGAACATTGTCAGTGTTTTGGGACCACTGAAATAAATAAAAGGAGTTTCCCAAAAATTATGCTCATCACAATCTAAGAGAGATGTACATATTGTTGTGTCTTACATTACAGTTGTCTACATTGCTAATGTATGATGAAATATAGTGCAGAACTAATGAATGGCATTGAAGGAAAAACATCAAGTTAAGTCTTATGTAAGTAGCGCCAGCTTAAAACAGTCAACCAGTGTAAATACTCCAATGCTTCAGTGTGCAAAACAGGGAATTATCAGCTGAAGGTAGATGTTCTTTGGAAATATTCACTTCAAGGCTTTACTAGCCCGATAAAACTTAAGATGTTTCAAATTCAGCCTCAACAATTTCATACAATAGCTACAATCATAGACAAAAGTCTTGGGACAAATTTGCACTTTTGGCGCTTTTGTGTACACGCCAGGCGCGAATACAACTTCACCTGCCTAACCTTGCCCCCCACCCCCCATACAATGTTGAAAACTAGTACGTGCAATTTCAGCTGATATTCAACATTGTGTTGTGGGGGGGAGTGGGGACAGCAACCCATTTATAAAGGATATAGCAGCGTTTTCTTCATACTTCAGTTCTAAAACACAGATAATCCGTTACATTACATAAGTGTCCCAAGGACTTTTGTCCACGATTGTAGGTTTAAAACATCCAAACATCCACAAGGTATCTTTTATTACTTGATACATGTTTAATATGTATTTGCACACTAAAACCACAGTGGAGTAATAACCATACAGAAAAACTGATGCACCTATCTCTGGAAATTTGACATGAACTTTAACTTCAGTTCCATTTAACACCAAATTTCACATTCAGTAATGCAAGTAGATTTGGTACTCGAGCCATTTTGTTCTGACCCAAAATAAACTACCTGTTGATTAGTTGGCTGTGGGGAGGTCTGTGGACTCTGTAGATCAATAAGCTGGCCAACCTGGGGTTGCTGTTGTTGTTGAACAGTTGTTCTCTGATCAGGTGTAAGGATGTTCCACACTCTTGAAAATGCTTCCTCTTGTACTCTTAGATTCTCTACAAACTGGACATTTGCCATCTCCCATGTTTGCTTTAAATCACTGTGGGACATTTTTTCCTGCTCCAACAATCTACACACTGAAGAAATGATAAAATTTATCATAGATAATTTGCCATTTTAAACTTCAAGTTAATAAATAGTCAGAACTTTAAACTAAATGTTTAATACATGTACACTGCTCCACTGCACACATCAGATTTTAAGACGGAATTCACCAGAAGTTAAAGCAACACGTGGACAAAAACTTTGTACCAAGATTATTTACATCGTATTGCAAACATATGTACAAATGCTCTAAATATCTTCTAAAAAAAACCATTTCTAGCAACACCAAACGTTGAAAACAAAATGTTGAACTTTGTACGAATCACTTGAAAGTACTGGTGAAATGAAACTGAGGATGAAATTTTACCTGTGTTTGCACAATTTCTCTGAACTTTGAAATTTATTTTCTCTTGTTCCCATGGGAAATTGTTTTCGGTGTTATTTCAGCCAACTATTTATATCTTTAATGTAAAAAGGACTGTAAAATACATAAAATTATTCTGGTACCAGATTTTTGTCCACTAACAACTGAAATTGCTGGATTTTCTATAGGATTTCACCTTAATAGCTTAACAGTAAATACGTTTTAACTGCAAGACTTTCCACTATTCAGGTTTTGGTACTATTTTTTCTTTCTGTATGCCAATCGCCACAACTCACAAGAGATGGACAGAATTTTGACTCTTAAAACTGTTGATATTGAGAGGTTAAATTAATTAAATTTGAGATATCTATCTCTTGTCATTCCCAAGTGCTGTGTTCAACTTTTACATTTGCTATCACAAATGACAACAATGCAAAGTTTTGATTTCAACAAATACTTTCACAATTGCTGGTTTTTTTTCAACCAATGGGGCTAGTTAAAATTTAAAAGTTACCAGGCAAATCTGACTCTTTACTGGTTTATGAAGAGATGGCTAGCGTTAGTCTCAAGCCCTGAATGTCTAAAGTAAGTGTTTTCCTGAAATACACGCCATTACTTTTCAGTGCGTTAAATCACACATTTCAATAGAGGTCAAAATATCATTCTGTTCATCTAGCACTTAATTTGCAATTCCTTAAAGTTAATCCTCTCATCAATGCTGAAAGCTAGTGATTGTAATCACAAAGTCCTTCACTTATAAGGCACATAGATTTTAGGAAAAATTAACTTTTCTCTCAAGCGCAACAGTCTTGAATCATTAATATATATATGTATATATATATGGTAAAATTCCCACAACTTGCTTTAAAGCAAATTTATGAAAACTAGGTAGAGACATTTTCTATGTTGACTTCAGCTTAGGTACATAGTACATCGGTCATGTAGTACATTTCATACTGACCATTGTGAAGCTCTTTTCTTAATTTCTCAGCATCCTCTTGAAGGACACCTCAAAAAGAAAAACATAACAAAACAAAAATTGGAGCAAAAACATGGAACAAGTTCTGCCTTTGTGTTGAAAGCTACCTGAAGCCTTAAATAGCTTGAATTAAGGGTAATTATGCAGCCTTATGAGCCTATGGAAATCAAAAAATATAAAGATCATGTCAGATAAGTTCTAAATTGTCTGACATTAATTCTAAACTGGTTCATTCTTACTGATTATAAGGGCAACAAATTACACTGTAAAGTGTATGTTATAACATGACTTGGACATTTCAGTAACACTCAGCTTGGCGTAGAATTAGACTTGACTCTGCCAGTCTATAAAATCAAGAAAAGCACACTGACTAACCTTTTTGTGTGTTTAGAACAGCTACATACATTTCCAGATCCGTTCGTGAGGATCGTTCTGCCTCTAGGTATTGGTTTAATTCCTTTACCTGTCCAAGAAATTTGCTAATTAAACTAGGATTTGAAATGGTCTGGTCTGGTCTGGACCTGGTCAGAAAACTTCTTCAAAATGTAAGTCCTTTTAATGCAGTAGTAAATGGAGCCAGACCTGGACTAAACCTGATCAAAAAATCTACTGTAGTTTCTAAACTTCTTTTGTTGTCCCCTAGTCCTATTAATAATAATTCACTACATACTATTTCTAATTCTCTGTGAGATTATGTAAAAACATATGTAATAAATTTCATTACCTTTTCTTGTATCTCTTCAAACTTTTCTCTTGATAGGGGTTCTTCATCTTCAGACTTTTTGTCATGCTTTTTGCTTTCTCCTTCCTGGAAAAAAAATCACTATAAACAATATTATAAAACATTCCATAATTTAAATGAGTAGGTCTTAAACATCAAGACAGTTTTGAGTATAATTTAAAGTGTAGGTTCATTCATTAGCACATCATAACACACCTTAATCTTTGTTTCTGCAACTTGCAGTTTTTCTTGTGCATCTTTTAACTTTGCCTTCAGAAATGATATTTCCTGTAGAGAAATATTCATCAACAACAAATTTAACGACTTCATAATGTTTGATACAAGAGGTCAATTTTGTAAGAAAAACAAACACATAACCTACCTCTTCCAGTGGCATAACAATTGATCTCCATGCCTCGGCATCCTCTTGGGCCTTTCAACAAAATACAAATGTTTTAGCTAGTGGGGAAATTATTTTGATACAGCACCCTTATTTTGTGTTGATATTTCTTTCTCTCCTTTCATGAACATTCAAAGAAAATATAATTTGCAGGTTCCCTGTGGGCATGTTGTGGTTATTGTGTGTAACTGAGGCCTTAATGATTGGCCTGCTTCATCTACCAAAACGACTGAAAATATTAATTACCCATCAGCATAAGGTAAGACATGCCTGATGGACAATTAACATGGTGATAAATAAAATCCACTAGTCAGCTAATGAAGAGGACAGCATCCATTCCATAATGATTTTCAATAAAATTTCAGACAACATATCAAACCTGTATCCACAAGAAACACTTGATAGTTCATGATACTTAATATGTATTTGGCTTGGACTACTTTATACCTTTTCCATGCTTTTTTCAAGTGATTTTACATTATCTGTGACTGCTTCCCCATCCACTGAAGAGCTCTCACTTGTTGCAGTATTCCGTCTTATGGCACCAACTACAGCATCAGACAATCCTGACAACATTCTAGGCCTGCTACTACTGCTTTCCTCGTCAGAGGACAGAAGAGATTTTAAGTTCTTTACTTCATTTTCTAACTTTTGATTTCTGGCAAGAAGATTGTGCTTTTCTATTTCAAAATGTTCAGCAGCACTTTCCTTTGCCTCTTTCACAGCCTCTGTAATACATGAAAATAACGATCGTAATATATCTCCAACATTTTAAGCCTCTTGATAATGCTCCTACCATATTTCCTTTTACGATTTAAATTAAATGCAAAGGTAGAAGCATCATCTGACACAATGACAGAGTTCAAGATACATGTATACCATATTTATTTGCCTATAGGCCGATCTTGGCCTCAAGCTAAGACCCTAAACATTTGGCTATTGGAACCTGTTAAAAAACTATGAAAAGGAAACCCAAAACATCTAGTAATAAGCTGAGATTGAATATTTCTTTTCCACATGGGCTGTTAAGTGAATAAAAGAGGTGTCCCTCTTGGGAAACATGCAACTGTAAAATGAAT